CCGTTCTTGTTGGATTTTTCAGATAACACAGAGGGCTACAATTCTTATCCAGAGCTCGAAACCCAAATCGAACTGGAAGCTGATCGATTTCTGACTCCAAGTTGGAAGCGTTTTGCTGAAGTTTTATTTTATTATTGGACTTGTAATTTAAATTAGAACCCAATCACTTAAGTGGCCCAAAGCCAAGTTTTAGTTTTATTTTATTTTTTATTTATTTTATTTCGTATTATAGATGGGCCGATCAGAACTGAGCCCTAACCCGATTTGGGTAGGGGTATATGACGACAGAGTAGGAAACTTTTAAGCATCTTGTAATTTTTGAATTGGAGGATCAAAACATTTTCTCTGAAACGTTCTTCGTCTTTTCTTCTTCTTCTTTTTATTTATTTTAATTTTTAATCATGTTTATCCTAGCCATGCTAGGCAAAAACCCTTTAATCAACCTAAGGGGAAGGGATTCCATGGATCTATCTAGAGGATTCGCGATCACTCTCTAATCAGATTTGTTTCTTTACCCTAACTCAGATCGATATCGTGCGATTATGGATATTCGATCTGAGGTTCGCGATTGCGATTATGGGAAAAGAATGATCATCAGATTTGATGATCAGATTGTTCTCAATTGAAAATAAGGATTCTGATTCAATTGAGGTTAATCACGAATTTGGTAATTTTTATCCAAGAAAGGACATCCTAGGAACCCGAACCTTAGGTTGGTTAATTTTTAATTACGAGCTTTTAATCCCAATTTTTATATTCTGTCTTTTAATTATTCAACCAAAATCTAAAACCTCCCTTTTATTTTCTGTTTTCAAAAACGATTTTTACCCAAACAATTTCCTTGAGAGACGACTTAGGATTTTCACTTTACTGCAAATTTTCTGAACCCTAATTAAAAAATAATTTTTAATTTGCGCTAGTTCGACAGCTCGTGTCAAATTTGGCGCTGTTGCCGGGGAAATTGCATCGGTCTAAATCATTTTCTGATTCTTGATCATCTTCTTCTTAAATTTTCGTTTTTGTTTCTAAAAAAACACTTAAAAAAAAAATTACGCATCTGTCTTGTTTCTGTGTTTGCACTCGTTTGTGTTTCTGATTCTGAATCCTGCACCTTTGATTCTGCATCGGAATTTGATTTTGCACACGCGTCTACGGTTTACGTTTTGGGCAGTTTTGGGGAAATTTGGGGAAATCGGTAAAACCTCTGTTTGAGAGATTGGCTTCGGGAGTTCTATTCCCAAAGGAATTCGACCTTCTGAGCATAAATCACGGGGCGTGAGGTGGGCCTTATTTTTGCCAAATTCTTTCGTTTACTAACCCGTTTTGGTGTTTCTTTATCATTTCAGGACGTGTCGGGTATTTTGGATTTGTTCGACTTACTTTGATCGATCTGAAAATTGGTGACCTGAAGAAGACGATCATCCCTGTCAAATTCGCTGAATTTGTTCGTTTACTATTTTATTTTATTTTTTGAAAAAAATTTATTTGATTTTTGAGTCCGTAAGGTCATTTAGAGTTTAGGAGAGTTGGTCTCTTAGGATTCTGAGGTCATTTGGTATTTTTCATAGATTTATTTTTGCTTCTGTTTGCTATTTTCGGCAAATTTTTGTGTCCTATCGTATGTTTTGTGATTTTATTGCTGTATGCCCTTGCCTATGATGCATGACTAGGAGTACTACCAGTGTTGATGATTTATATGCATTTGACCCTGAGATAGAGAGATCATTGCATGCTGCTAGTAGAGCTCATAAGTTGACTTACAGTAGAGTTGTTCCTGAGCATACCTTAGAATCTGAGTCTGTTTGTTCGAGTCGTTTACATAATGTTTATTCGTTTGGTAATTTATTTGATTCTGAAATCATAGGTGATAGAACACTTAAGCAATTGGCTGCTCCTAATGTTGATAATGAGCAGCCCCTCTGTATTCGTTATGCTAATCCTGTTGTACCTTTTGAGCTTAAGTCTGGACTGATACACTTGCTTCCTAAGTTTCATGGTCTTGCAGGTGAGGATCCTCACAAACATCTGAAGGAATTTCATATAGTCTGCAGCACTATGAAACCACCAGGGGTGGATGAGGAACAAATCAAGCTGCGTGCTTTTCCTTTCTCTTTGGACAGTGGAGCTAAGGACTTGCTGTACTACTTGCCACATTCCTCCATTGTAAGCTAGAATGACATGTCAAGATTGTTTCTGGAGAAATTCTTCCCTTCATCCAGGGCCACCTTAATCAGAAAAGAGATCAGTGGCATAAGGCAGGCTAATGGGAGAACATGCATGAGTATTGGGAGCGGTTTAAAAGGCTCTGTGCAAGCTGCCCACACCATCAGATTCCACACAATCTCCTGATTGTTTACTTCTATGAAGGGTTGCTGCCTATGGATATGAATCTTTTAGATGCAGCTAGTGGAGGAGTCCTGAGCAATAAAACACCTGATGAGGCAAAAGAGTTGATTGCTGAGATAGTGGCTAATGCTCAACAATTTGGCACTAGAGCAAACAGCAGTGCAGTGTTCCAAGTGCAAGCTCCTCCAATACAAAATCCAATAGTGGCAGCAGCAGGAGCATCAAGCACAGATAACCAACCTGTGTGGCATCTGTTGTGATCCTTCTCATCCCACGGATGCTTGTCATTCTTTTCAAGATAGCGGTTTTCAAGTTGATCAGTCTGTTGCTGCAGTTTTTCCTGGAAAGCCACAGTACCAGCAGCAGCAGCAGCAAAACAATCCATTCTCCAATACATACAATCCTGGCTGGAAAAATCATCCAAATCTCAAATGGAGCCAGAATCAGCAAAGTGCACCATTCCAGCAGAATTAGCAAAGTGCACCATTCCAGCAGAGGCAGCAGTTTGTACCTTCACAACAGAGGCAAAATTTTCAACAATTTGCACCTCCACAGCAAATGCAGCAGCCACCAATGCAGCAGCAAGCCAGTACCACTGGTCCTTCTTGGAGGATTTAGTCAAGCAAATGGCAACTACTAATCTGCAGTTCCAGTAGAGGACTGAGTCTTCCATCCAGAATCTGCAAACACAGATTGGCCAACTTGCAACATCAATGAGTCAGAATCAACAAGCAAGTGGAAGCTCCCTTCCATCCCAAACAGTTCCAAATCCAAAAGGAAGCGAAAATGTGAGTGCTATTACTCTGCGGTCTGGAAAGCAAATGGAGGAGCCAAACCAAGTTGCTGCTGAGTCATCTAAAGGAGGTGACACTAGTTCCAAGAAGCATAGCACTAGTACATCTGATATCCATATCCCTCTGTCATTCCCTCAGAGAGCCACTCAGTCCAAGAAGCAATTAGCAAGGCTCAAGATAAAGAGATACTTGACACCTTCTGAAAAGTGGAGGTGAACATCCCTCTTCTGGATGCAATACAGCAGATTCCGAGATATGCCAAGTTTCTAAAGGAGCTGTGCACCAACAAGAGGAGACTGAAAGGAGATGAACAAGTTAACCTGAGTCAGAATGTATCAGCACTCATCCAGCCTATGCCTAAAAAGTGTCAAGATCCAGGGACATTTACTATTCCTTGTGTAATTGGCAATTCTATTTTTCATGATTGCATGCTAGACTTAGGGGCTTCCATCAATGTCATGCCTGAATTTGTATATAAGTCTCTTGGTCTTGGTCCTTTGCGTGCTACTAGTATTGTGGTTACATTAGCTAACAGGAGTAGTATTCACCCATCTGGTTTGGTTGAGGATGTATTGGTCAGGGTTAATAATCTGATTTTTCCTGCTAACTTCTACATTTTACAAATGGAGAGTGAGACTGCTACTAATAGATCACCAATTATACTTGGTAGGCCTTTCATGAAAACAGCTAGGACCAAGATAGATGTTCATTCTGGTACTCTTTCCATGGAGTTTGGTGATAGCATTGTGCATTTTAATATATTTGATGCCATGAAACATCCTAGGGAAGAGCATTCTGTTTTCTGCATTGATGTGATAGATGAAGTTGTTGAGGATGTTTCTGCTGAATTCGTTGCTGATTTTTCTGATTTTTCTTCTACTCATGATTCTGATTTCTGTGGTTGTGGTGATAGTCAAGAGTGCTTTGTGTGTGCTGAAATAACATCATATCTTTCTGGTTTTAATGATGCACTGATTGATGAACAAGATTCTGATTCTGATTCTTATTGTGATTCTGCATTGTCTAAAGACCGACTCCTTCCACTGGATCGAAAAAAGTCTTCTCCTTGGTAACCTTCGTTGTCCTCCGCTCGCTCGTCATGGTGATGGCTTGCCATGACCCAAGAAAAATGCGTAGGAATCTTTTTACCTATTCCCACAGACGGCGCCAAATGTTCTGGGTGAACATCAGTATGGATTCTACATGGTTGAAGTCCCTATCTTAGGCCCTTATCCTTGATATATATATATAGCTCTTGCTTAGGTAGTTATTCTAAACGTGGGTGGTTATTGATACCATCATGTAATCGTGGTTGGGCCCACCTTGCATTCCAATACATGGGTTAACTAACTAATCATTCGAGTAAGGATCCTTCCGGGTTCCGCCAGCCGTTTTCCTTGGCTAGTAATACCCGGACGAATGAACCCGGATCAAAATGCAATTTTATTTTTACATTTTAAAAAAAAAAATTGCGTATGTCTCATTATAATGAGAAGAGAGGGGAAATATTAATGGAATATAATAAAATTCACTCATTGTTTTACAAAAAAAAAAAAAATGGATCAAAAGCATTTTTAACCAAAACATATATATAATCAATAAAAATCACAAAGTGAAGTTCATGCCTTCAAGGTGAACAGTAACACAATATATAAAATTGTTAAGCCGAACCAGGGAATATGATTACATGTTTCTTATCCAATGAATTGGTGTTGTATATTCATCTTGTGAGTAGAAGCCATTGAGTGTCTGAAGAAATATGATCAGAATCTATGAATCACAAGAACAAATTGATTGGTTATAATCTTGCTGAAGAAACCAATAAAGAATAAAAGGCAGCAAAGCACATACATTGCCCACAAAAAAATCAAGATACATTGATAAATATAATTTATTTTTTTAATAAAATCTACAAATATCTGCATCTTGTATTCCAGGTTGCCAACTTGATGAACTGTAGAAACAACGGGAAAAAAACTGTATGCAGAGCCAGAAAGTCAAGAAATTTATAAATATAGCTGTCTTTGTTTAAAAAATCTACAGAGAACTACATCTTGTATTTTAGGTTGCCATCTTGATGTTCTTTCAGCATACCATACAGCAACCAGCTTTGTTCAACTCTATTTACTGAGTTCTGGAGAATGAGTTCTTCTCTACAATCTGAAAATTCAACACCACACTCCCCTCTCATTAGCTTCAGTATTCTTCATTTTCAACCTCAATTCTTCAGTGGATAAAATACCTTGTTACAGGTCCAAAGAATTTTCTTCGCAAATAAATGAACTCCACACAGCAAACTGAGAACTCTGAACAGAAAAAATAAAAATACCATACAAAATAATATATCATAAATAACTCCAATCAAGCTATAAAATTACATATTCTTCAAAAGTAGTTTGGATCAGCAGTGGAAATAAAAGACTAAAATCTATCTTTTCTTTTGCACCAAGTTTAGATCCTAGGTAAAATAGTTTGTTTTCTTTAAACACTTGAATGAAAATGAACTAACTGTAAAGAACCAATTCAACCCAAAAGCTTAAACTGTTGGGTGAAGTTGCATTAATAATTTGATATATCTCTAACACACACCCTCACAAGAGAGCCCATTAGGCTTGAAAGGTGAATGATGCATCAAGACCAGCCAACCTATGCTAAGAAATTCCACAAAGAAAATGGAGGGCGGTGAGGATCGAACCCAGAACACCGAGGCTCTGATACCATGTAAAGAACAATTTCAACCCAAAATCTTAAGGTGTTGGATGAGGGCCTTTTTAATGGTTTATATTATTCTCTAATACACCCCTCACGAAGAGCCCTTTGGGCTTGAAGCGTGAATATTACACAGGCCCAATTTTTGGTTTACCTTGTGCTTATTTTAATTCCACTAGAAAGTGAGGGGTGGTGAGGATTAAACTCATGACCTTGTGGTCACTGAAGCTCTGAAACTATGTAAAGAACTATTTCAACTCAAAACCTTAAAGTATTGGGAGAGGTTACATTAATGGTTTTATATATCTCTAACACTAACTAATAATGATGCAGCCACGAAGCCTGCAACTGGGTCAAGTTTCTATGCTTGAACTAATAGAATAGGTCAGAAATTTAAGAAAACTCCACCTGTAGTAAATTTCAGAATAGCTTCTTATCAAGAAAGCACCTTTTTTTGGGTATCAAGTACCAACATGGATAGCATCTTAATTTTCCACTGTCTGACCAATTCTATGCATATTGAAGGCATAGTTGTCAATAGCAGTTAGCGGCCAGTAGCGGCCGACCCCGAAAATGGTATAGCGGTGTAGCGGGTAGCGGTAATACCGCTACGGTGAAGTATTAATTCCACATATATTATACTAACAGTCAAGAAACAAGGCAATACCGCTTTTAATATTAATGCTCAAACATAAGAAGTCACACAAAATCAAACACATAATTCCACAATCAATGTCAAATACAAAGAACATAAAGGAAGGATCCAAAATTAAACACAACTGAACATAAAATTGTCAAATAGCCAAGTACAAGAAGTGAACTAATAAAGAAAATCATCATCATCTTCGGATTCTCCATCAAATTCCAACATAGGAGTGGTGTAGCGGGGGTAGCGGGTAGAGGTATTGCTGCTACGCTACGCCGCTACCTTCCGCTACGGCTAATGTCGCGTAGCGTCGCGGTTTGTAGCGGCCGACCGCCGCTACCCGCTACGGTAGCGGTTTAGCGGCGCTACAGGCCGCTACTGACAACCTAGATTGAAGGTTTTCTCTTTTCTTCTTTATTCCACGAGTATACCCAAAATTTTGACTCAAATTTGTGGGTGTGTGAATGAGTAGGAGATAGAATAAATTGTACCTGCATATGGAATGGAAACTCGAGAGGTTCTACTTGAGAGGCTTCATACCCTGTTCACGCTCCAAAAAGTAGATTCCCAGTTACTGTTTGTTAGATAAAATAAATATAGATCTTTCTCAGGAAGCTGAGAACAAAAGATAACAACACGATATAAAAAGGATGTATTATAGAAGGACTCTTATCTTTTTTCTTGACCGTAAGAGAAGGACTCTTAACTAATTCTAATGTAGTTTAATGACTAACATTATAGAAAAAGGAAGCATACATAAAACAAGAATATTTTCCCTTTTGATACCAAACAAAAGATGATGCCTTGCATTTCCATATCCAAGTACATTTCCCAGCATTCCATGAGATACAAGGTTCCAAAATGAAATAAATAGAATACATCAAGTTCATAATCTCCATCAAAACTTGAGTCTTCTTCACTATAACAAATAGAAAGATATGATGAAATTGGTAGCAAAAATGGTTGAAACGGGCCATCCTTTTCAGCCACTGAATGTAAGAGAAATGCATCACTACAACGTATTTTTTTCTAATCTTATTTTGGTGAATGAGGTTATTTATAACAAACATATGATATAGATTTGTTTCCTACAATGGACTCTGCCTCCAAGTAAATGTAAGCATATTATACAGTCTTTCTAAGAAACCCATAATACATTAACACGGTAACTCTACGGAGTGAGGAGACCAAAGGTGAAATAGGGGACATGAATAAGAACATTCAGCATTTGATAATTGATACATTTCGAAGAGATCAAAACCTCATTATTGGTTACCACCAGTTATTAGTTATTACAAATCCACCCATAATTGGTGCTTGAAGAGTGAACGATACTTGTTTCCAAAAATCTGTTAAGCAGATAGTTTTTACTTTAATGTTACATGAACCTATCTCAGCCTAGTGAGAAGATTTTCAAGGATTTCAAAAGGTAGAATTGCAGTTATATCTAGCTAAAACTAATTCTTCATGCTACCAAAAATCAGTCAGTCACCCAATAAATATTTTTCAATACAAGATTTTGTATACAAAAAGGCATCTAGAACAAATTGTAAATGAATACAGTGAATACACCATATAACTGTATAAACTGCTCATAATCAAAATCATAGCCTCCTAGTTTCTGTCAAAACCTTTAGAATGTATCACTAGAAACTGCTGCAAGTTAAAATGACACACCCAGTGTTCAACAAGAATCCCAAACGGAATGTTCAATAAGAAAGTAGACAACCTTGAAGGGAGACAGCTAAAACACTACGTGTCATTTATTTAGAGAATTTCTGTCCAGAGACTGCAACTATCCATATTCCTCTCTCTGCTTCTAATATATAGGAAGAATATTATAGTTGTTAAGATTTAAATATGTCATGTTATTAGAAAAGCAGTTTAATATGCATATATTAGTTTTAACATGTAACATGATAAAAACAAGTCCTATCTGCAAATTCAATTTCATTTTCTGCATTTAATTGATTTAATAAAGCATGAAATCATGAGATAGCATACTGCTATTATTCCAGAGAATCCACCAGATGGTGTACCTTTGATGCCCGCAGATCATTTACTTCCATTCTAAGTGAATCATCAGATAGGATTAACCGAGACAATGCCCCGGTAGATAACCTGCAATATCATTAATAAACAGCAAAACATTTATAAAACTGGTTGAATAAATGTAATTGGTAATCCAGGAATTAAAATAATCATTTATATACCTAAAATTATATCATATTAGTCTAGCATAAAGGGGCAATTGAATCATGTTAAAATGAGAAGAGCGAATGTAGCATTTATTTCCTTTATCAACTTTCATATCAATAATGAAATTTATATACATATTTTGGGCATACATTCATTACCAAGTAAAGACAGTTAATGTAGATCTGGGTCAAAGATATTTTTTCACCCACAAGTGACCCTCTAAATCATAAATTACAAATCTTGAATATCATAGTAACTAAAAATGCTTCACATACTCAATACAACCCCCCCAACCCCCCAAACAAAAAATAAATAAATAAATAAAATAATAATTAAGAATAATAATAAATAAATAAAAATAAAATCATACTTAAAGCATATATCAAATACCCAAGATATTTTGCAGCTTCTGAGATGGATCCTTCAACTGCAAAAATGAGATCCAAAAGAGCTTGCATTCCCTGTTGGCAGGACCATGAGTAATATGTAGTTAAGTTGCAATTCGGTTTTGAATTTTCAGTAGAATGATTATTATGAGAGGATAAAGAAGAAGAAGAAGAAAAAGAAAAAAAAAAAGAAAAAGAAAGGGACAGAGATACATGCTGCACAAATGAACATACCAATGCAAATTTTGGGTTATTAGGTCCGATTTGTGGACCACAATCTGACCCTCTAATGGTTGACTTCGGAGGAAGTATATGAAGAAGCTCTCGAGGTGCTGAATAGGCATCAAGATCCACTGTCTTCCTGACTAGCTCAAGAAAATAACATGCTATTTATCAGCAAAATCAATGCTTAATATAACTAAAAGGAATATTTATCTCAGTGTAAGTATTTTCTGAACATGTCTAGGGGAAAACAACACCTTCCATTAACACATTACAGAACAACATTTGGAACCCCGGAACAAACCAGCCAGTTCAACCAGTCAAACCGTGAACCGGTTATGTCTCCATATGATTATCCCTTATTACACTATCCAACTCAACCATCAATTTAACTAGTTAAATCAATTGAACCGTGACCTCGAGGTGTATCCAAATCAATGACTGGTTTGGTTTTTAAAACACTGCTTCCAGTATGGGATTCAATATAAGATTCAGGATTACCCCTTTACTTATTTCAGTTGCTAATTATTAGTGAAGACATACTTATTTCAAACTAGGAGAAATCTCTCCATAAACCAAAAAACAATTAAATACTCTTATACTGTAAGGGCAAGCCTTAAAGCAGCAGTAAGGTGGAGTTCCTTGTGACCGGAAGGTCATGAAATAGTCTCTGTGAAATAATGTAAGAGTAAGACGCGTACATCGTCCCTCACCCCTACCCTCGTAAGTCAAGTAGCCCTGTGCACCTTTACACTTATAGTAGTACTTTGCAATGGATGCATCACCCACTAAAATTCGAAAAATATGACACACCTAATTGCATTTACTCCAAAGACTTCTCTATTATTAATATCACATAAGTCCAACTTATTTCTATTTTTACTCACAGAGTATATGCACTGTAGTACTACAGAAAATTTAATCCATAAACCCGGTGCAATCCAAGAACCAATAAAGTATTGACACGACACTAATTATGAAAGTTAATTCATAACTAAACTAGTGCACTCACTAATTATGCTTAGATACCCATTTTTTGTAAACTACAGTATGGAACGAGAGAAACAATGAATGAAGAATGATGAAACAAACACCTTTGAGAGCTATAAGAGAGCGAAGGCGATTTAACGCGGAAGCGCGGTTCTTATGCTGGGAGCGGTCCTCAGAAGCCTGAACAATACCAACCCCACAATGAGAAATTGATAAAGACGGAATTTTGAGGATGAGAAAGGGTAAAAGGGGAAATAACCTGAGCTATAATGCCAGTGGGTATGTGCTTGAGTCTCACTGCGGATTCGCGCTTGTTGCGATGCTGACCACCTGGACCGGAGGTTTTGAAGGTACCCATCTCGCATTGACGCATCAGTTCATCGTCCGTGAGTTCCAGGTACCCTTTTTCGGCGGCGGAGGTGGCGGTGGTGGTGGTGGTGTGGTTGGAGCACCATATGCGGGTGGTGTTGTTGTTAATTATTGAGATTGGATGATGAGTGATGTTGAGAGAGGAAGACCGGAGTGGACGATGATGATGGTGATGATGAAGACAAGAGTTTATAGTACACAATCTTCCAAGTCTGAGACTAAGAGTGAGAACAAAGGTTGGTTTGCAGAGGAAGAGGATCTTGTGTGACATTGTTATTGTTGCCTCTAATTCCTGCTTCTCAAGCACTCCATAGTTCAAACCTCCGAAATAAAATTTATGCTTTGTAAAGGGGTCGAACCGGTTCAATATGTTTTCAAAACCAAACTCAACCGGTCGTTCACCGGTTCAAATTGTGAAGAAGTTTTTATAAAAAAAAAAAAAAAAAAAAAAAAATGTTTATATAAATAATGTTCCTTTTTTTTTGTACATAATGTTCCTTTTTTTTGAATAAATAATGTTTTTTTTTTTTTGGTAATCTAAGGAGCTTAATAACAACACTTTAAAGAGATCAATTCAATAAAATCGTTCTAAAATTACAAGACAAAGACAAATCAGCCCAATACAAAGGTCAAATACCAGGGAGAGGGTTTGAAAAAACACAAAAATTATTCTCAACAGCATAGTCTAAAGGATATTTAGAAAGCCAATCTGCACATCTATTTCCTTCACTAAAAATATGAAACATGTGAAGTTCCCAATTCTTTTGTAACTATGCTCGAATCCGAGTCACTAAGAGAGACTCTCGAGCTGCTTTTCCACTTTTGGAGAGAAAAGTGATAAATGAGCTTTAATCACTTACTAGGATGCTGTGTCTCCAACCTCTAGCCCAAGCAAATTCAAGACCCTTAAGGACGCCCCATATTTCTGCAACAAAAGCTGAACAATGGCCAGTATAGTAAGTAAATTCCTCTATCCAATAACCATTTTCATCTCTTATAATTCCTCCACAAGCAGCACCCATGTCATCACTCCTGGCTGCATCATCCGTGTTTAATTTCACCCAATCTGTGTCCGGAGGTAACCATCTAATAGGAACAGAAATGTAATATCTAATAGGAACAGAAATGTAATTCTTGGTCAGCTTTGTCCCCTTAGAAGTTATCCAGGCTTGTGTATACTCACGAACCAGACTCTCTACGGACTGCACCTTTATTCAAAGGTAATAGTGTTTGGAATAATTTTAATTACACAATTATTTGAAATTTTTCAGAAAAATTGTATTATTATATAGGAATATGAGGGAATATTGATCTACGTTCATTTAAGTTTTACTCATTTTGAATCGTTAATCTCACTTTCATGTTCTAATTTGTTAGTGATGTGAACTATTAGAAACATGTGGGATCCCCGATAAGCAGCTAAAATTAAATGAACAATTTGTAATTTGTACATAATTGATCCTCCCTAACAATACATTTAAAAAATATTTGTATATTTTATTTAAAATATGAATAGAGAATATATATATATATATATATATATAGGGATAGGTGAGATATAATTACACAATTATTTGAAATTTTTCAGAAAAATTGTATTATTATATAGGAATATGAAGGAAGATCGTTCTACCTTCATTTAAGTTTTACTCATTTTTAATCGTTAATCTCACTTTCATGTTCTAATTTATTAGTGATGTGAACTATTAGAAACATGTGGGATCCCCGATAAGCAGCTAAAATTAAATGTACAATTTGTAATTTGTACATAATTGATCCTCCCTAACAATACATTTAAAAAATATTTGTATATTTTATTTTTATTTTTTATTTTTTTTTATTTAAAATATGAATAGAGAATATATATATATATATATATATATATATATATATATATATATATATATATATATAGAGGGATATGTGAGATATTTTTTTTATGGGAATATGGTGGAAATTTTTTTTCCTCGTGTAAATTACTAAAAGGTGTTTGGTAGGCCAATATTTCTCAGGAATGTTGAGTTATTTTTCTAATGTCACGTTTGGTTGATTATAAAATATTTGTGGAAATTTGAATCTGTTTGAATATTTGTTTTCAATGTTGGTTTTATAAAAGGATAGTTTGTCCGTCTCCGTGCAGATGTGCTTCCTGCCGCTTATATACATTTGTTGAAGCACATACAGGACTCTATTCCTCCTCGCTCCTTGAAAGAGGTTTTCTTTGAATGTTTTTCAATAAATGATTTTAGTTTATGTAAGAAAAAAAAATATGCTTTTGAGAAACGACTTACAGTATAAGGTTTTAATAAGAAAAATACTATCCTCATAATTTTGAGCATTGGAAAGATTTTTGGTCCAGTCCATTGATGCTCATGATGAGCTTGTGTCCTTTTTTGCTAATGACCAGAATATATAAATGAATTGATTAGAGTGGTGCGATATGAAGAAACCATATCAGGATCCATGAGAACAATTGCAATGCTTGCATTAGGAGCTCAGTTAACAGCATACACATCATCTTATGAACGTGCATGGATATTAAGTGGGTCTAGTATCAATTTTGCTGGAGGGAACCTAATGATACTTCTGAATGTTCTTGGGAGGACTATTTTTCGGTTTATTCGATTATCGATTTTTCGGTTCGGTCATCGCGGTTTGAATCGGTTTGGATCAGTTGATGAACACCCCTAAGTTATGTCATTTAAAAAAATAAACATTTTTCTCAATAAATAATCAAAAGATACAATCTTTGGGGTTGGTTGTTGCATTGTTGTCAAAAATTAATCCAAAAACGTAAAAACATAGAAACGATAGAAACACAGTGAAAAAACATGTTAAAATGTAAGTGGAAACAGGTAAAAACGCTGTGTAGAAACGTAAAATTGGTAGAAACGCAAGTTTTTACGTTTTTTTACCATTTTTACCTAAACTCAATTTAAAAAAAAAAAACTATTTTCTATTTTTTTAAATTCAATTTTCTCTTTTAATGTTTTTAGACTTTTAAGGAGAGGAGAGAGAAAGGGTATGGGAGAAAGTGAGAAGAAAGAAAGAGAAAAAAAGGTTTATTTTATATCACAAATATGGATCGTTGGATGAGATAGTAATCGAACGATAACGAAAGGGGTAGGCAAAAGTAGGTAAAATAGGAGTAGGCACAATAACCTATCTCATATCTTATATAGTTATGTGAATTATATCTTTTAAATATGAAATTATTTATTAAATTTTGAGTAGAGATTTATGTGAATTTATTTTTTACATGCATAGATATATAATTTTGTATCTTGACCTTAAGTGGTAAAAACTTTACGTTTCGTCTCGTTTTTACAAATTACGTTTCTACTACCCCTTCCGTTTCTACGTAGAAACTCGATTTTGACTACACTGGGTTGTTGACATAAAATTGAGCAGAAGCAAAAGAAATTAGTACTTTCTTAGGAATGGTTGATCAAATATGTTATAAATAATAATTTATAGAAAACTTGAAAAAAAATATTTAAAAAAAGAAGAAGGTAAGCTTGCCATGAGTGCAAGATGTCAGAATTATTTTCAATATTACGGATATATCAATCACTCGGTAAATTTTTTATCAAATATGAAAAAAAAATAACATATTTATATTATCTTTATTTTTAAGATTATTTCTTTTCATATCCTTATTTTTTTTCCTTTTTAATAAAAATGTGTTACACTAAAAATTTACTCCAAGATGTCATTTATGACATGTTGGAAGGCGCCACATTAAATGATTGAAAAAAATAAGCTAACTTAAGGGCTGTTTGGTAGGAGAAGAAAAAAAATTGTCTGAGAAACCAGGGTAAGGTAAAATAGATACCCATGTTTGGTAGGAGGAACACTTTAAAAGGGTTTGAAAAAAAATGTTTTCCCATCCAATTTTTTAACACATATATTAGTTGCAGAATTTTGCCATGGATAGTATGGAAAAATTGTTTTGCTTTAGGGTGGTGAAGCTATCAGACTTTTGTAAGATAAAATTACTCTCAAAAAGTTTGTCAACCCTCACCTGATTAGTTTACTAATAGGTGTGTAACAAGACTTTTGGGGTAGTTTGGTAAATTTAATTCACTTTTCCATCAATATTTTACAATCATCCAAACATAACATCAGAAAAATTCACCCAATTTTTTCACAAAAATTCACCCAATTTTTCTGGAAAAAATTTGTCATACCAAACACCTTTTTTTTAACTTACCCAGCTAAAAAAACTTCCAACCAATTTCTCTGCAAATTTTATTTCCTGGTTAAAAAAATTTTCTCCTGTACCAAACGCCCCTAAGAGTCTCACCTATTCCCAACTTGCTTTTGCAGAGTGGATTGGAACAAGGGAATTGAGAAGAAGCAGGTAAAATAGGTAAAATATTTGCCGACCGCTGTCAGTGTTTAAAAAATTAGACATGTAACAGGTACTGGGCTGGTATGGTGTGGGGTAGACAGAGTTTGGGCCCAAAAACCTGAATACTCACATTGCGCATATAAAGCCTTGAACAAATTTAGATAGGCCACAACAGTTATAAGGCGACTTCTTAGTAATGTAGCCCACCTTGGTACAAGACTAGAAATCCTATTGGGCCACCATTATTTCACATCTAAAGCTTGGCCTACTCACAATCTTCCCTCTGAACAACAAGGAATTCCCAGTGTGGTTTCTAACTTAGCACAAAGGATCTTAAAAGTTGTGTACCAAAAAAAAAAAAATCTTAAAAAAGTAGCCCACATGTACCCCCCCCCCCCCCCATCTTGGTCTAACCAACTTGCACTTCCTTATAGCAGGTAATCACACTAAAAAAATTTCGTACTCTAAAAGGATTAAATAAGTATGTTTATTGTTTAATGTTTAGATCAATCATATGAGATATAAGCTTTTTTCTAAAATAATCTTGTCTTTAAAATGGGTAAGTAAAAATGTGTTTACTTTTTAAGTTGTACAATTATTTCTCATGCAAGCCTGAATGCTGTCTACCAATTTTAGGCACAATGATTAGGGAATTGAAAAGGTTGCTTTGGGTGTTAGTTACATTCTCTAGTTTCTAGTTAGCGTGATTTTCGAATAATAGTTACATGTATAGGAGTACATATAAGAAAGGGTGAATCCTGTCACAGCCTTCTGAGATCATCTCTATAGCCAAACTTCTTTTGAATAGAAACCGACAACCTTGTTTAAAACTAAATAAACCCATCAACACTACTACACTATTAATGACTGAACTCATGTACGAGTTAGTTCATTGACATTGAAAACAAAGATTAATGTAAAGAAACATACAAATAAACTATGTTGTCGAGCAATGACCGAAGAAATCACATCACTTGGACCCAAATACCCTGGCTTGGAATGTCATGGTCGACCACAAAGAGTAAATAGAAACCATGTGGTGCAAGAATAGCCGAAGGAGGTGTGGTGACCTCAACTTCATACGTTGATTTTTCAACACCTTTCAAATTGTCTGGCTCCAACACCAACAACCTCTGATTCATGGAGAACGAGTGCGTTGTAAAAGGCGGCGCCAACATTGTCACTGAAACCGAATCCTTGGCTAATTTTCCCTTCACCTGGAATTAAACATTCAACTTCTGAGCATATTTGAGTTTGATTTGGGATTTGGGAACAACAATTTTTGGACGCATATTAAAGAATCGAGGCTCCAGATACGAAGGAGAAAACGTTTCCAACCTCAGTTACGTTGGAAACAACACATTGGTGAAATTGTAAAAAATGTGAGGATTGCTCCCACCTACCAGGACCCTACCGTCGCGAAGCAAAATGGCAGTTAAGTGGTACATTCGCGGGATGGTGGTCGGGTTTTGCAACTCGAACCGAGACCCAACCTTACCATTTGTTTTTTAGAGAAACGAGTTCAAAACTGGGTTTCGACCCGAATCCCACCCGGCAGTCCCTCCAGACGCTCCATTGATGAGTAAAACATTGCCGTTAGGGAGCATGACCATGTCACTCATGACTCTACCACCCGGCATAGTCTCCATAGCCCACAGGGGATTCGGGTCGGTGATTTTGATCATAGCACACGTATTCAAGGCTCTGACAAATTGACCCTTTTTTGCTTGCTGGTAAGACCTTTTGAGAACTCCACCGCAAATCAAGACCTCAGCTTCCACAGACGGCGCTTGTAAATTCCTCAAAGATAGCAACACCGCTGAACCGGTACTAGGATAATACTTGGGATCTCCACCTGGTATCGTAGGGTATGTTTTCACAACCTTGTTGTCGTTGTAGTTGAATAAGATAGCACAATTATTGGCGAAGACAAAGAGGTTGACATCCACGTTAAGGAAAACAAAGGGGTAAAGGTTGTTCTCAGCGCCAACATCATTGGTCTGTACTAGAAAAGGTAAACTGCAAGTGTTTGTAGTCGTGACTCCTTTCTTGGGATAAAACTCGTAATTGAATTGTTTTCTGCCACTAATAACGATTTGTTTTCCATCTGGCAGCATGTGATTGGTGGTGTACCATCTTCAAGCTGCAAGTCCACCTTCAATTTCTTGCCAATCACATGTGGGGCATGGATTGAAAATCATCACCGCACGGTCTCCATCGTTGTACCTGCTTGTCTGAACTAGGGAACCGTCGGGAGCCGTCGAACCGGAGGAACACCAAACATCGGTTTCTACGAATAGTGGCCAGAATGTAATGGAAGCGACGTTGTAATCAACGGAGTGAGCAGTGCAATCGTCTTTGACAACCAACTCTCTTTGGTTTTGGCGGGACTTACCATTGGGTAAGTCTAAGTTGGATAAGCCAAAGTCGGTGCGGTCGAAAATGACGACACGGTCGTTATGGAGTAATTGCATGTGCATGGCCACAATCTATGAAGCACCGACACTTCAAAAACTCTGACGTGTCGTGTCCGACACTTTCCGACACTCTCTGACATTCCGACACTTTCCGACACTCCAACATGCGTTGCAGAGATTCAAAAAAGGATCAAATGCTGTATTATGTTGCATTTTTAGTTCAAACTATTAGATTCATTGGATTACGATTACCAATTTATTGAGTTTAATATAAATATTTGGAATATCTTATGTATCTTTGCAAAATTTATAGGTATTAGAAGTTTAGCTTCATTTTTTTATTAAACTATTGAATATTAAATATAATATACACTACACAAATTTAAAATATTATTTAATATCAAAACGTGTCCTAATGTGTCAAAATCTAACATTTTTTAGAATTAGCTTGTCGAAGTGTCGTGTCGTATTGTATCCCGTGTCTCGTGTCGGTGTCGGTGCAACATAGGCCACAATGCCGATGCTTTTCTGTAGAAGCTGCCACTGTCTGTTTTTGGCTTCGGACATACTGAATGAAGCAAGGAGAAGGTAGAAAAAAAGGGAAGGTAGAAGAAGGTTCCTCATTTCTTGTGTGCTGAGAAAATACTGAAGAAGGGCTTTAAATAAATACTGGTTGTGGGGGTGTTGTGAGGGCTTGAGCAGAACTAATAGGAGTAACTGCATATTTTTTAAGACTTGCATATGGCAATCACAAATGTGACTCGAGTGTGTAATGGTGCAACAAATATAACTTCAACCCAGTTTTCTCCATTTGAAGTATGGCTAAAATTAGAATTTAGGACCACCCATACTCAAAAGTATTTTGCTTGCCTCAACTTACCTCTCAAAAAATAATTAATATTAATATCATCAAAACTTAAAACAGAAACACGCGTTAGTTAAAACAATTCCATTTTTCCAACAAAATAACATTGTTTTCTTAAATGCAATTTCGCAGGAGAAATTATGTTCAACTTAATTATGAAGAAAAAAAAAGTGTGGATCAAATGCAAAAGATGGATAAAAAATTCACGCATTCGCCTATAACAATTTTGATCGGGAACTAGTTCCACACCTTTTGCAGAGAAACTAGTTCCTAAATTTCCGGCAGTCCGTGAGTGTCATCTGATTACTCGTATACGGACATGGATCAACAGAAGCTGATCAGTTACTCTGATGCATTCTTATAGGGAAGGAAATGTCTGTGCAGATTGGTTGGCGAATAACATGTTGGATACAGATGATTACATTACGTATCAATTTTGGAGGGATCCTCCCCCTGGTATTCTGCATCTTCTTCTTGGTGACTTTACTGGTGTCAATAGGTCCAGGGAAGTGATGTGTAGAATTTAGTTTTGTCTGGTTTTTCTTTGTTGTTTTCTTTGGCTTAGGCCTTTTGTTTACCCAATATATATATATATATATATATATATATATATTCCCTTAAAGTTTAATAGATAAACTACACTTGTTAGTTTTTGATTTCATATAAATCAAATGACATTTAAATGGATGTAACATTTAATTGGTGACTTGTGAAGAGAGATAAACAAGCCAAGGCATTTTTAACTTTTGAAATGGAAAAAGAGGTTTTTATTTTCTTGCTACACTCCCTTGAGAAGGGTGAAAAAGAGATTTTGTGGTTGTCGGAATCTTTATCCAAATAAGACACCAAGATAGAAGAGATAGTACAACATAAATATCTTAGTTTTATATACGGTGTCGTTGCGCCTCACCGCTTCCCAAATTTCCCGCAAATGTGATAATTTTTTCTAAAGTACATATATAACGTGAGTTTTGAAAAATGTAACTTGTGTTATTTTAATTTTTAATAATTTGTTAAAGCCTGTTTGATTTACAATTTGCATTCAAAATAATTTTGTTTGAAAGTTCAAAGGGGATTGGCATCACATTCTACATGTTCGGTTGAAAAAAATATCATGTTGAGCAAAATGAAATTGAGTTAATTGATTTTAAATATCGAGTGTATATAATTTCAAAGAAGTATATTTATTTAAAAAATATATTAAAAATTTAAATTATTAATTAAAAATTAATTAATTCTTTTAAACTAGCATTTTAAATATTATTTTTAAGTGATAAGTTACTCTACATACTTTTTTTTATGTCTAGCTGCTTATTTTGTCTACCATTCTCCAATATTATTGATCAAAATATCAACTAACATTTATTATTTCTTTCTCCTTTTAAGATTTTGATTTAATGGTATTAGAAATTTATAGGTAAAGTAAGCATACTGTTATTTCAGACTTATCACTTTTATTATTTAATTAATTACCGTTGGATTAGTCTAAAATCAACCACGGTTAATTATTCTTCTCTTTCAACCGTTAATCTTAAATTGATTCAATAATAATTAAGTAAATAATAAGAGTGATAAGTCTAAAAAGTATAAATAAGGGATAAATTACTTTTTTTATTCTTATCATACATACCGATTTCTAAGTTGAGAATCTTAAGAGGAGAAAAAAATAATAAAGATCAGTTGAAATTCTTATCTAATGATATTAAAAAATAATAAATAAAATAAACATAAAAAAATATAACTAGAATAACATATTCCTTGAAATAATAAGTAAATAATTTATTATAAGATCAAATTATATGTTTATTATTGTTATTATTATTATTATTATTATTATTTTAATTATCTTTGTGTTAAGTTGTGCATTCGTTCACCTCAGCCACCGTCCAAAGTCGAGCGACTCTCAGCCGCCGCCACGAGCACGCCTCTGGTACCGGCAGCCCCAACAGGTTCTCTCTCTCTTTCTAAAATTATAAGACCAAATATTCCATTGTGTATATATATATATATATTGCAACGCAAACACTGCTTCTTCTTTTTTTCAATATTCTTATTTGATCTTACATAATGAACTGTGATGAAATTTCTCTCCTTATTTTATTTTTTATGATGACACTGAAAAGCCTTGATTTTGATTTTGCAGAGTGATGGAAGAAAAAGGGAAATTAGATAATTATAAAGTTGGGTCTTTGCCAACTATAATATATGTACCTGACTTCATCACAGATAGTGACCAAAGCTTTCTTCTGAAAAATGTAGCTTTCCCATTTGTGATTCTCACTTGTTCTACCTAATGTTTCTTAAGCATTTGTTTTTTGTTTTTTGTTTTTTTAAATGGGTTTTGTGCTTTTTATTAGATTTATGGAGCCCCTACATCAAAGTGGAAGTTGTTGAAGAATAGAAGGCTACAGAATTGGGGTATGGTTGATGATTTTATAATAAAAAAAAAAAAAAAATTCTTTTGTGTTTCCCTTTGTTTGTATAGAATATATAGATATGTAGATAAATAGTTCTTTTTCTTTGGAATGTGGACAACAATGGAGTCCTCAAATTTTTGGAAAGTTGGAGTTTCCAGAGAAGTGAGAGCAATCCTTTGAGTAATGGTAAGGTTGTTCCTTGTGAGCGGAAGGTTACGGGTTTGAGTCTATGAAACAGAAATTCCCTTGGGCACAAGGCTCCCCAATTTGCAAGAGTAGGGGTGATAGTTGATTGAACGCAGTCTTACCCTTATATTTTTTAAAAGAGGCCGTTGCCCAGAGTATAGGAAACAATTTCTTTGTAAAAATACAAAAGTAAGACTATGTACGATCGACCCTTATTCCTATCCTCGCAAGTCGGGGAACCTTGTGCACTGTTATTTGCCATTTAGAGTTGACAGAGAAGTGAAAAAAATTGAAATGAGGAACTGAACTTGCATTATAATTGTTATAATTCCCATTTCCCAGTAGATTCCTCCTAATGTGGTTAAATAATTTGAACATGCCAGTGTCAAGAATATTTTTATTTATTATTTTACCCTCGCACAGCCAATCAAATTATTGATATTTAGCAAAAGTGAAATGAAAAATTTCATTCTTATTAATGCCAATTTGTTTTTCTTGTCATTGTTGATTGCAGGTGGTGTTGTCCATGAGAAGGGCCTTCTGCCTCAAACTTGTAAGTGAGGGAATCTTCACTTCTTTTATAAGCTGAATATGCTATCTGCATGAATACGCATGATGTTGTCTATTGCTAAAAAATGACCACTATGTTCTAGGACTTATTCTTGTCCATATGCATTTTGATAGTTTCAAACAGTGATCACTGACTTGTAATATTATGCCAGTCTTTTATTGAAATAATGAGATTGTTACTTTTGCTTTACCCTTCTAACTTACCTAATGCAAGATGATGAGAAAGTTTTGCATTAGTTCCAGTAGATTTTGTTGATTTACTGGCAATTTTTCAGACTCTCAGTTGTTAGATTTCTGTTTTATAATCTTAGTTCTGTACGTGGATTGAATTATTTCATTGTTGTCTTTGTATACATTGTGAGGTTTAATTCTGTAGCTAATATAGCAATTATATGTCTCTCCTACAGTGCCTCCATGGTTAACAAGTCTCTCACAAAGAATATGTGAAGAATCAGGGTTATTCCCATCAGCAATCAACCATGTTCTCATCAATGAATACCTACCTAACCAAGGCATAATGGTTTGTCCTGAACCTCAACCCATTCTTCTGGCCATTTATTTGCTCTGCCTTTCTATTTCCTTTTAGCAGTGAAATGTAGATTGTGTAATATTTCATTGTTGATTTTTATTCTTAATCTTTTATGCTTATATATATGATACTAACCAGCTAGCTATAGAATGCGTTTTCATGTATGTTGCTATTTTTTCAATGACGTTTTTTGTTCTACAGCCACACCAGGATGGACCTGCCTATTTTCCAGTTGTAGCTATTCTTTCACTTGAATCTCCTGTTGTCATGGACTTCACTCCCCATGCAAGATTGAAACTAGATCCTCAACATGTTACTGACAGAGATTCAGATGAAGGAGCTTTTGAGATTGGAGAAGATAAGTGGCTTGATGATCACCACCCATTTTCTGTTTTATTGATGCCTCGCAGTTTACTGATATTCAAGGATAAGGCATACTCAGGTTGTTATTCTCAACTGCTATAATAAACCCTTATATTTCGCTTTAGAATAAACCTTTTTAGCCTTAACCTCTTTTAGTCTTGCTAAAATGTTAGTAACATTCTGTATGTGATTACAGATTACTTGCATGGCATAAAGGATTGTGCAGTACATTGCTATGATGGGGTAAGGCTAAAGATTACTAAAACTTTTTTTGCATAAAATAATGGGTTTTATAAAAGTTACGTTGTAGGAAAAGTGATTGTGTAATGTTATAGAGATTCGTTTTGCGTGCCATAATTTTTCTTTTTCTTTTTTCTTCAAAAAGTGTGGGCCCCACAAAATGTTGTGTGTGTAGGAAAGTTTATTGTGTCATGTTAAATGACAAATGCAAACCCCTAAAATAATTCATTGCATGTCTATTTATTTCTCATGCTTCAAAATCCCTCCTTTTCAGGCTGTAAATGAAACTGAAGCTTTGAAACACAATGAATCAAATAGACACCTTTTTAGCTCTGAGGATGCAGTGGAAACAATAGGAAAGGAAGAGTACAAGAATTTATCAAGGACATCCAATAGAATTTCATTGACTTGTCGATTGGTACCAAAAGTTCACAAAAATTTGTTTAGGCTTTGAAATCATATATTTCATATTCCATCTAATCAAAAGTTCAACTGTGACCTCTTTTTTGTTTAGGGGCTGTCCTGCACCTTATCCTCTTTAATCTTCACGTAGTACGACCTTCAATAGTGACTTGTGAGACTTTGATCTCTGTTAAGTGCATGTACTTATAGAGTAATGTGGTATATCAATAGTTTGATTAATGTAAATATTTGATTGCCATGTTCTTTGCCTTATTTCTTTTGTCTCAAATGGGAAAATAGAATATTATTACTTATTTTTTAGCATGTTAAACTTATAACTTACAAATTAATATCCTAATTATAATTTTAAAATGAATTTTAAGTACAATTGCAAGTATCAAACGAGACCAAAAAAATAATTATTGTAACAGAAATTAGACTAGATTTATTTTGTATGTGAATAAAAAAATATAAGACTAACCTAAGATATAACACTCCTTACTAACACTACAAAAGGAATAATATAAATTTATATCATCAATGTATTCTAACTTTTCATACGTAGTTCAGAAGGGGAAACAGAAAGTATTAAAACACTATTAGGCGTTACACTATTTTTTAATCCAACAAATTTGTCCTATATTAACTTGGAGCAGATAGTAATTTGGTAAATTCATAATCATATTTGTTAAATTAGTGTCATAGCCAGTGATTCCCAACATCAAAATTCAAAATCATATATGCTTAATTAATTAACATTGTCCCGTATCTGATGTGGATTTTACTTTACTTTTGTGATAAAGTGCTCTCAAATTTTGGAACAATCATGCAGACAAATGATTTTATATGGAATCAAGCCGGCAGCATGAAACATCAAAGTCTCATAAATGAATTCCTTAGTGATTTTTGGCTAGTAAACCCCATTTTAACTCTGCCTGTTTTTTAGTTGCATTCCTTGAAGCATTTGCCACCTGTGCAGCTTCCTCTAACTATGTCCTTGACCTTTTGATCCCACCATGCTTGGAAGGTTTTGGTTTCTTGAAATGCCAGATTTTTCTCAAAAGCCCTTCCACATATGTGAAACTGCCTAACCTAGTTTCTGTGAGGCACCACTCTTGCAACAGCCCCTCTACTTATATTCTTGTCAACTTTTTGTTTTGTAGCACCCTATGCTTGTGTTGAGTTCGTACTTTGCATACTGATGAGGTCCTTGTTGGTGGGTCAGCAAAATTCTTTTATTGTAATTTTTTTTTTGATAATTTGGGTTTGAGCTCATGAATAATTACTGTTAGTGTTTTCTAAATCTTGTAACGAGCGTAAGTGAGGTAGTATAGACAAATTGGACATAGTCTACATTTAGTGAATCAAGATAAATCGCTGTGTCTAATTCCTCTTCCCTTTCTCTTTTCTGTTTTGCGATTGCGATTTGTGCGTGTTGATTTCTAACAGTTTGTTTATGTGTTGGAAGACATTCTACAAGTGATTATTTCACATAAATGACCTGCCTCAGAATGATTGCTACCATTATCATTATCGTCACGGCGATGGTGATGAAAGATTAATCCAAACTTATTTGTCAGCCTCCTTAGGCTCTCAGGATTTTTTCTACGGTGGGATGTATACACCTTATAGGGATATGAATTACTACTCTCTTCTGAGACCTTCATATGCTGAATTAACCATCCTTGGCAAGGAGTAATTCTAAGAATCACTACTACCTTCTACTACAAAGCCAGAAAATTTTGTAAAAGGGAGCGAAATGTCAAATGTAGTATTTATTGCAAGTTACAGCTATCGATATGTCCAAAAAAACATATATTATGTTCATAATTAAAGATTTGTATGAACTTGAAGAGTGACAACCACTATTTATACTAACAGAAATGAGGCTTATAATACAACTAAAGGCTTGTACAAACTCGAAGGGGGCAACCGCCCACCCTAACCCCTCCTTCGTACATAAGTGATAGAACCCAGAATATTCAACAGCAAAGATAATAACAATTAAATAGTAAAATACTTCCATTATCTCAATATTCATCACAGAGACAATCACTAGTAAACATAACAAAGAAATAACAGGAAATACAAAGGAATAACAAGTAAAACACCAAAACATCTCACTCGCTCTCAAGCCAATATACTTAGGCCAAAGAAATTTCAAGAGATCCTTTCCCAAAACTCCACTCCAAATTCATTGAATACATGGAGAAACCTTACCCTAATTATCTATATATACTAATCCTAACTAATGGGCTTGCATATTTAGTGAAGGCCCATCAATAAGCAATCCACGTATATAGGGCCACACATCAGGATATGGCCTAAATTCACTCTCTCATCCGATCTTATCACTAGATTTCACAAATTTATGCATAAGATAATAATTTAGTAGGGAAAAATTCAGGTGTCTATGCAAAAGGGTATAGAATAATTATGATAAGTGTTTAACTGGTTGTGTGTGATGCATCAAGTGGTTTGTTTAATGGTTATCATATAATGCAGGATGAGTAAATCTAAATTTGTTAGTTCTTATATAACCAAATTGACATGTAGTCTGACATCCTGTTCAGTGCATATTTTCACCACCGCAATCGGCAATGGCACGTAGAAAGATGAGTGTCCCTTCTCTCAAACACAAGGCTACACTGGATACAAGTTAAAACAATTGGTCAAAAGTATATAATATTAGATTTGCAAGAATCAACCTGCGCCAAGATGAGTATATGTAAGGTGAATCACTAATACCAAAGTAATTTTATTATCACAGTACTTTTTCCACACACCGTACAATCTCAAACGCCCAGATCAAGAAAAAAGCTACGAAATGTGAAGGGGTTGAAACTAGATGACACCGATAAAAAAACCCAGCAATATACTCCAGAACCTCACTTATATACTGGAGTATATTGCTCATAAAAATTCAGATGATGAATATTCGAGTATTCAACAAGTGTATCCAAGTAAACATTGTTACTTGACAAATACTCGAGTACATAACTCGGTTAATGGTACACGAATACATAACTCGATTAACGGTCAAACAAGAGTGGGTGAAATGTTTTGGTACGGGAGCAAAGCACTAATATTTTTTTAGTTAAGGGCAAAAGGATCAATCAACCAATTAACATCTCAAATGGGAGGTACGGCCACACCAATCGGGTACGACTTGGCCAAGATTTAGGCATCAAGATTTTTTAAACCCCCTGAAGGAGGACGCATTTCGGGCCTAAACAAGAAGACCAAATAGGAAATTCGGGATGGCCCAAAATGTCAAGCCAAGATGTCAACGTCAGAACCTCAACTGAAACATCTCTGTTTCGAGTTAAACCCGGATCTTTTCCTAGCTTATGATTAAAGCCCTTTCCCCGGCTCAGACCTCTTATATAGCTCTCATATTTAGCTGACTTGATATCTCAGCCAAGTCTACTATCGTGTTCCCGGAAGACGGATTCATTCAAAAGAGCCCGGATTGTGGATTTAAACCCACGATCATCACCATCCAACATAACCGCTTGCAACTGCCATGGTCATGTCCATGATAACTCCCCTTAATCCACAATCTATCCTCATAACTGTCCATAACAACTATTATAAATATACAAGCAATACTAAATGAAGACCAGATTACATTCAACCATCGATACCCAAGCTTACCCATTCATCAGAGTCATACCTTACCAATAGCGTACTACATTCATGAAGTAACCTATCCCAAACACTTATCCTTGTATCCAAGTTGGTGTTCACTCAGAACAATCTCAAATATAGGTTCATACAACTTTCGATCGAGTTACCCATTGTAGCTTGGTTAGGAAACAAAACTTCAAAACTCCAGAAGTACTCCCTGAAGAAGGGCAAACATCGGGCGTAATTACCAAACCGCGAGAAGTAAATCTAGAATATTCAAAAATATTAAGCTGAGGTATCGAAGTCTCCAATGTTAAGTCTTGAAGACACCAAACCTCAAATCTAGTCATTCAAGTTTCAAAATTGCACCTACAACTAGGGGTGTAAATGGGTCAAGCAGCCTAACAGGGACCTACAATCCAGCCTCCATCAAGTCATGCTCGGCCTATTACATATGGGAGTAGATCCTCTCACGTGAAAAAGTGGTCATGTGGTCATGTTATTTGATCACAACTACTCATTTAAAAATTATACACTTTTCTCTCTCTTATCTCATCATCAATGAGGGGTTGTGATCAAATAACATGACCACATGACTACTTTTCCACGTGAGAGGATCCACTCCCATTATGTAACACCCCGTAATACTCCGGTTGTTAACATACATGATATTTAGCATACACAGCGGAAGACTTTATTTGAAAAAGAAATAAAGCGTCTTATAAAAATACGAGTAAACTTTTTCCAAAATATTTTATGAAACATTTCTAAAAACGTTCAGTGAGATACTGCGAAAGCGTAAATCTAAACATACATCTAATAATTAATCTCATGAGCCAGTATTAGTGGCCATTGACCATCAAGATATGACATCAAGTGTCATTCCTGACGGAGTCTCACAGACAACATAACGGCTGTATTTCGGATAACTGGGAACATGGTCCCACACATACAGTTAACCTGATTGATACAATAATTTAAACAAATAGCTTGCAAGTCCCACACGGACTGCAATCCCCTCAATGGGTCAATACAAACAAGAAGGCTCCATGCCCAAATTAACTGAATGCATACATCAAGTCTATATTAATACTAAAGCATAACATCAGTAAATCATCCATGGCTCTAAGGATACAATCATGAGCCTAAATAAATTAATAACATAATCTTAATACAATAATTAAGCATGTTAAAAAAATCAACATGTCGTCATAAGTCTAAACATAATATAAAATATCAACTGCATCATCAGCTAATCCAATGTGGGGGCCTTGCCCCTAAAAGCATCACCACTGCTTTGGGTACCTGAAATAATGTCCCCAAACGGGGTGAGATAACAACATCTCAGTAAGCTCAAGGTTCATAAAGGATCCTTTAATCCCCTAAGTCCACTTCTTGCATGACAAGTCAGATATAAAGTATATAATACAAACATACAACAAAAACATAGCATCATCATATCATCCTTGTGTAACCCCAGGGTCAAAGCCATAGACGGTTACACCTGTGTGACTCCAGGGTCAAGCCATAGGAAGTCAACACAACCTCTGTATAAAATAGCTCCCAGAGTCAAGTCATAAGCAGCCTACATACTATGATCACTGGCCAGGATCC